CCACCTCCCCCCCTTCTGATCCGGCCCCACCGGGTTTAAATCCCAGCGCGGCTCAGCGCTGGGCACTGGACCCGGCTCCCATCAGAACCATGGAGTCAGGCAGCATCTTCCTGCTCCTGGGGCTCCTCGCCGTCTGGGCCGAGCTGCAGGCTGTAGCTGGTCAGGGAGATAAACGTGAGTAAGGGAAGTTGCCCATGGCTCAGATGAGGGTCACGGGAGCCCTCTCTTTTGTAAAGGAAGTCACAACTTGCAGAGCAAGAATTTCCCTTAAATGTGCTTTCCCTTGGGCCATCGCTCCCAGGCCCCAGGGCTCGGAGTCTTTGTTGGAGGTAGAAGTGGATGTTTCTCTCCTGTGGCACCCACTTTCCCCAGAAGAGCTCTCAGCTCACACCGTGCAGGCCATGGCCTCGTTCCAGAGAGCACGGGCATGTGTCCAGTGCAGATCTCTGCTCTCATCACAACCTATCTCCTCTCCCCAGGTGACATTTGCCGACTCCCACCTGAGAAGGGCCCTTGCAAGGGAAAGATGCCGCGCTTCTTCTACAACCCGGCCTCCAAGACGTGCGAAAGCTTCATCTACGGCGGCTGCCAGGGCAACAAGAACAACTTTAAGACGAAGGCAGAGTGTGTGCGTGCCTGCAGGCCTCCTGGTGAGTGGGACAGAGCCCAGCCTCTCCCTGGGCGGGGAGATGGGGGGTGCTGCCCAGCTCCACACCATAAATTGGGGGGAGTTACACTGGGGCAGGTCTCCAGCATTCAAGGAGCCCTGGTATCTCTCATGATGGGAGGTCTGGTCAAATAAAAGCTGTGCTGTGGCTGGGGTGGAACCTGGGGGTCCCAAATCACAGGGCTCTGAGCCATGGCATGTTAGCCAGGAAGTCCTGAGTTCCAGTCCCAGCTGTGCTACCTACTGGTGGCCCTGGGCAGTCACTGCCACCCTGTATCATGGCTTGGCCTGCCCCCCAAAGGAGCTAACGGACACATGGGGCAGCCGGGGACCCAGGCGAGATCGCGCTGCCGGCATCTGACTCCAGGTCTGGCCCGAGCGGAGTGATCTACTACGTTTGTGCTGGAGGCTTCACTTCCACCCGGCAATGCTGACAGCAGAGACTAAACGCCCGGCCCCTCGGACCCAGCCTCCCACTCTGTCCGTTGTGCAATGTGGTCTGGCTGAGCCGGGTAGCAACCGCACAGCTCTGAGTGTGCCGTGCCATGGGCTGAGGCTGTCCTCACACACCTGCATGCAGCACTAGCACTGGGGAACGGGCCAAAGCAGCTCTGCAGGGGCACGGGAACAAAGCCAGGGCAATGAAGGGCCAGGACCCAGCCCATGAGCCTGCCATACCTGATCCCGACTCCCAGGCCCCCCAGCCCAGAGGTGTCTCAGGAAGCTGGAAGTGTCTGGGGTCCTGGACCTCTGCCCAAGGAGCTGCCCGTTCAAGGTCCTATGGCAGAGGCTGGGATTCCCTTTGGCTGGTGAGCTAAGTTACAAGGCTGGTGTCTCCCCTCTGTGCCCATTCTGCATTGCAGAGAGACCCGGGGTTTGCCCCAAGACCACAGGCCCTGACATTTGCCTGCATGGCTGCGACAGCGACTCTGACTGTAAAGAAGGACAGAAGTGCTGCTTTAATGGCTGTGGCTACACCTGCGTGAGGGTGGCTCCATCAGGTGAGTCCCCTCTTCCAGCCACAGTGACACCCTCAGCAGCTGCCGTGAGATGTTCTGCTGCCCCATCCCTCCTGGCACACGCACCTGTCTGCCTGTGACGGCGTCACTCTCACCAGCTGCTCTGCTGTCACACTGAGTACAGGGGGTTTGGGGAGCAGCGATACGGGACCAGGGCTCTGACGGCTTCGTCCTATTTCCCAGGGTCTCCCTAAGTCCCATCTGCCAGGACCCGGACTCCAGAGGGGACGAGCTGCCTCAGCCACACAGACCGATTGCCAAGATCGGATCAGCCCGAAGACAAAGTCCCGACCCCCAGGGACTCTCCCCATCCCTGGTGCTTTTGCCAGGGGAACAGGTTGTGGTTTCCTGGAATTCCTTCTCTTCCTCAATAAACATTTCCTGACATCCCTGCACCTCTCGGCGTCTGCTTCATCATTCTCCAGGTCAGGCCTCACCCAGCCTGTGCAGCCCCCAGCCTCTCCCCTCCCCTCCAGGACCCAGCAGGCCAGAGCCAAGGCAGGGCTGCAATCCCGAGACTGAGAGACGCTGACCGCCTATGGGGTGCTCCCGACCCGGGGGTGTTGTGTTTAAGCCCCCAGAGGCTGGGCTCGCCCTGTGTCCTGGAGGGAGAGGGTGTTAAGTACCACCAGCCTCTGGGGGGGTCAGAGCCTAGAGGGGAGGGCACCTCACACACCCAGGCACATTACTGGGGTGGGGGACGCACAGCCCCTCAACAGGGCTGTCTCCACAGGACCCCAGACAGCACCTCTGGGAGGGGTTCAGGGGGCACAATCCAGAGTGGCTGGGGAACAGGCATTTGGGATGAAAGGGTCGGGGGAGGATTTTCCCAGCCAGCCCCTCCCCTGAGTAGTAGCTCTGGGGGGAGTGGCCTGGGGGAGGCAAACCCAGCTCAGAGCCTGTCAGCCCGCTCTTCCCAACGGGGTCGGTCCCCCTCCCCAGCAAGACCCAGTCCTGGGGATCCAGCCCTATCATTGCCCCGTCCTGGCTCAGGTTACAGCTCAGGTATCTTCCTTCAAGGGAAGTCCCCCATCCCCAATGTAACTCCCCTGCAACATTCCCAGGTCAGATCCGCCCGCTCCCTGTTGCCTCACACCATGCGAGTCAGGCACCTCCTCCAGGTGTCCCCGGAAGGACAGATGGGGGGCCAGTCGGGCTCCTCCCTGCGCTCTGCATCACCATGGCCGGCGTGGGCAGGTTGGGCCGGTCCCCTCAGGTGACCCTGCAGGGCTGCTCGGGACCCGCCTGGCTGGGTCTCAGGGAGGACGGTTCTGGGGGCACTGGGCCCGTGTCAGGCTCTGGCAGGTCACAAGGGCAGCAACACAAGCCCAGTGTGTCCACAGCTGATTCCACCCCTTGCTCTGGGCCATGGCCATCTCCTCGTTCCCCTGGGCAGGTCCCCCGTGCTGGGAAATGGAGGGGCTAGGGGCTGGGCCATGGCCCCCCGGTCCCTCTGGTCGGCCCCTGCCGGACAGATGCAGCCAGGCTGCAGGGCAGGGGCAGTTGGGCAGTAGCCAGGGGCCAATGGGCACTGCTGGGAATTGAATCCCCCGTGGGGACTTTTTCCAGAGCCGGTCCCGTCTCCTGGGCCCCACGGGGGCTGGCAGAACCAGCTACTGGGGACGCAGCGGGGAACGGGCCGTGACCTAGCTCCAGCCCGTGTCTGGGGTTAAAGGGTGACGCGCACTCCCCCGCAGGCCAAGTTGTCTGTACTCCTGGGGCCAGGAAGGAATTACAGGTGCGCACCCCCGGAGCCACTGGCAGGGGCCAGGGATTTCCCTTCCCTTGGGGCACTGAGCAGGGTCTGTCCCCTGGGACGGGGTGGGCATGTGCCCCCATCAGTCGCTGAGACTGCAGCCAACGGGACTTTTGGGCCTGGACCTCCCTGTTTCTCCAGGTTCCTTCGAGGGGGTTTCCCAAAGTCCGGGATCCGGGTTGTTTTCTCGTTCCATCCGGGGGGACTGATTTATTGTCAGACAGCGCGTGCTG